ATTAAGAAAATAATTGCTTCTTTTAAATTATAACAAAACTAAGAGAAATTTGACTAATTATTTTTTATCTCAAAATCAATATAAATAATTATAAAATTGGAAAAACATTAGTTATTACTTTTTAAAATATTCAAAACGATTTATATTTAAGGACAAAATAATCACAGTCAGAAACGACTTATATTTTGAAACGAACACAGTAATTTCTAATTACTTACCAGTGAATTTCCCTTTATTTCTTAGAAATATTTATATTTTTAATTATATACTTTATTTACGATTAGCCAAAAATATAACATAATAATTAAGTAATTAGAGAAAATAGGAGCCAATTAATTCGATTTAAAAAATACACCTTTAATTTGTGAATTGCATTAAATATCCGATATTAAGTAGGTGCTAGATCCGTAGTAGAGGTTGTCGCTCGGGCCTATTCTGCTGCTAAAGACTATAGTTTGTTGGATTCTCAGCTTGGTTGTGCTAATGATCGTCTGGTTGCAAAGGATCAGTGGGTAGTATGGCAGGCTCCTCCTATGAATTTTGTGAAGCTCAACACTGATGCCTCTGTTCCAGTGATTCCTGGACATGCTTATGCAGGGGGTCTTATTAGAGATATGAGGGGTATTTGGCAGGTTGGTCTCATTGCTAATATTGGAATCACGTCAGTGCTAGGGGCGGAATTGTGGGCTTTGCATAGTGGCATTGCTTTAGCCATCCAACAGGGATATTCCCATGTTCTAGTGGAAAGTGACAGTCAACTTGCTGTAAAAGTGGTGGAAGGATCGTTGGAAACTCCGGTGAGTCTGCTATCCCTGATTAAGCAGGTTCGTGCCTTGCTGCAAACTGTCCCTTTTGCCCAACTGGTGCACGTGTATCGGGAGGCAAATGCCCCTGCAGATTGGCTGTCTAAATTTGCTTCCTCCTTTCCTTTAGGTATTCACATTTTGGTGGACCCTCCTACTGGCCTCCATGAATGGCTTTCCTGTGATATTGCTGGTGTTGCTTTCAATCGGGGGTGTGCTAGCTAGCTTTTATTAGTTCTCTTTTCTTACCAAAAAAAATCATGTATTAAATAGTAATTAATTTTATAATTAAATATAAAAATCAACTCAAAATAAAAATAAATAAGTAAAATAAAAATTCTACGTGAAAACTACGAGTGCGTTCACATGTAGAAAACTTAAGTAGTTTTCTAGAAAAGTTTACTAAGAAAATTGGAAAAAGAGTTTTGTTTCAAATCAGTCAGTTTTCTATTTGAAAAACTAGAAAACAGTTTTCTAAAATTTAATTAAGATTTGAAAAACAGTTTTAAGTTGTTTTTCACAATTTTTCTTTATAACAAAATATATATTTTTCAACTGTTTTCCATTTTATAAAATGACATTTTCGTAGATGACGTTATTATCTATAAATAATTTTTTCCATAAAATATTTTTATTGAATAAATAAAAATATTTAAATAGCATAAAAAATTATATATGCTTTAATATATAATTCATTTTATTATTACAAATATATTATATCCTTCAAAATAATATTTTCAACTGTTTTCCATTTATTAAAATGACAATATCTCGTAGATGGAACTGGATAAAATAATCATATAAAAAATGAATGTTGTGTCCATAAAATATTTTTTATTGAATAAATAAAAATATTCTAAAAATAGCATAAAAAAATTATAATGCTAAATATAATTCATTTTATGGATTACAGAAGTATTAGGACTCCCCTTTATTTTTAAAAAAATTTTAACAGAGGGAAATAATGAAAATTGAGGATTATGTATTATAAATAATCTATATATTTAAAAATTTTAGAAAATTTCTTTAAAAAATTTTACAAAATAATAAAAATTGATATTATTGTTATTATAAATAATCTATAATTAAAAATTTTAAAAATTTCAAATAAAAAATTTCTAAGTTAGTTTATAGTTTTTTATTTTAATTATGAAAAAAGTTATAAATAATGTTTTTGAAGTTTTTAAATTAAAATAGAATTTTTATATTGTTACCAAGTGAACACATTTTCCATTTTTCTATTTTCTAATTTTTATTTTTTAAGAAAACTGTTTTCTTAGAAAACAGAAAACGATTTTCTTTAAGTAAACACAGCCTAATTGACTTAGACCCTTCCACCATGCTTTAAAATAACTTACTTTGAATTAATTGGAATCAAACATATATTAATATAATGATCCAATAATGCATATTAACATGTCTGTTCTTGGCCGGCCTCATTTGTCACGTATTTGACAAATGGTAATAAATTTAGCTAATGAATTTATTTAATGCACATAAGGATATCATCGTCTTCTTACTAGGGAAATAACGACAAATTAGCTAAAAAAAATGCGACAATTTTTCTAAATAATGATTTATTATTAGATTAATGTATGAGTAGTTCTATACAACAGATGTAAACAAATATTTTTTCTATGTAAACAACAAACAAGCAATGGTCACATATCGTAGTTTGTTAAATTTTTCTCCTGGGCCAAATGTATAAATATTGCGCCTTAATTCTATAATATTAACCAAGTGGCACTTCAAACTTAGAGAAGATGTATTAATGTCACTGTAATTATAAACTTTGGTAAATAATTATAATTTTTACGATTTTTGTGTTTCATATCCAAAACGTGGATTGAATGTGTGGTTACTTTAGCTTTTAGAGAAATGGTTTTCATATTCCGATCAACTATTTAAAAGTATTTAATGTATACATATCTGAATTATTTTCGTGCAAATATTGGATTAATTATTGTCTAATATCTTGAGATTTTATTTTCAGATTTAGTTCTAATTTATTATTATCATCGTTACGGGGTGATTTTATCTGGTGTCTTTTGTTATTTGGATAGTTATGCAGAACGAAGTGTAGATCTACTATCTAATATAAGGAAAAAATTTGAAGATAATTAGATCTGACTTGTAAAAGACCATGGAGTCGAACAGTTGTTATGAATAGCCACCAAGTGAAGCAAGTTTGTGCTTTTTTTATTGCCTATAGCACAAATATTATTACTCTGTCAACTCGATTAGATACTTCAAATTAACATTGTGTTTTTTTATTGTGTGTATAAATGGTTTATTATTAGACTTCTTATACAAAAATATAGAAATGTATTAGTCTAAATTTCATATCTGTATACAGTTTTCTCTAAATGAAAACTTTTTTTTCTTAAAACAAAGTATTTAATCGATCTAATTTCATTAGCTGGAACATCTAATAGAATTATTTTGTAAGTTAAAATATTTTAATAATTGAAATTTTATAAATTGATGTGCTCAAATCGGTGAAATATATATAAAACAAAGTAGTGGGTAATCGATCTTTACTTATCTATTAGCTGGAACATCTAATAGATATTATTTTGTAAGGTATAATAATATTTTAATAGATTGAAGGATTTATATAAATTGATTGTGGCTCAAATCGGTGAGAAAATAATTAAAAGAAAAAGTAATAATAATATAATAAATAATATATAATATATATATAGTATATATATAGTATTTTTTTTTTTTTTTTTTTTTTTTTTTTTTTTTTTGAATTCAAGGGGGCGTAGGACTGGTATGTAGGGTTAGACCATTTTACATTGACGGATCTTTTTTTTGAGATTCAAGGGGCTAACTTATGTAGTTAGACTTTTCTTGCGTCAATTCCACATATATAGCAACTTGCATTTGTGCTGTATCTACCATTTTTGTTAAGAGCTTTTCTTGTATCAAAAACTTGATGTGGGATGCAAATGGATGTAGGACTTGGAATGTTCTTAAGCATCGTTCTTGGTTTTGCAGGTAAGCTCTTCTTGTCTATATTATTATTTCTTGAGGCAAAATAGTAAATCAAGTCCCTATTGTTTTTTATATATTTATTTATTTTAGCTTAATTTCCATTCCAATAACCATCTATCTCCCTGGACCAACCATTCCTTTATTAGAACAATATCTAACCTTTTGCTTCTTTGATTTCTTGGGGCAAGCATACATCAGTTGTGAGAAAGAAATTGTTTCTTAGGTAGACAGAGAGAAAAAATATTGTTGTTGTTATTATTATTATTGACGCAGATGAAACAGTTCAGCTAAAAATTAAAATTATTTAAAAAAAATAAAAAAATTATTGTCCAGAGAAAGAGAAAGTGAAGATTGAAAGGAAAACAAAAAGAATGAGAGAGAATGAAAGTTCAAAGGATAATGAGAGAAGGAAGTGAAGATTGTAAGGAAAACAAGAAGTAGAAGAAGTAGAAGAAGAAGGAGAGAGAGAGAGAGAGAGAGAGAGAGAGTAAAGAAAGAATTGAAGATTAGAATAGAAAGGAAATTTATAAATGAGAGAAAATAGAAAAAGAATAGGATATGGTAAGTGGAAAAGAGAGAAAAAAAAAAAAAGAAAAAGAAAAAGATGGGAAGTGAGAGAATAAGTAAAAAGTAACTTTGAACTCGGGTTAACAAAAACGTTATTACTTTTTCATTTTTTTTTTTAATTTAACAAAAGTATTTGAGATGCAGGTATAATTGCAATTGAGTTTTAAAATAGGGAAGAATTATTAAAAAAAAAAAGAAGAAAGTTAGGGCAATTTTTTTTTTGTGTAAACTATCAGTATCCGAACTTCATTATTAGGGATCCCTTAAACGGCTCAGAGGTTAGTCACAGTTAAGATTTCTCGCTCTTCCCTGCAGATGTGTTTAGTGGGATCGAACTCGAAAGCTCTTCCCACAGTTCTGATAAACAAAATTAAGATAAATTTTCATTACTAAAAAAACTAAGCAACCTAACCCTTAATTACTAATGCAGGTTATACATTTAATTTTTATTTATTTAATATACAATTTAAATTTTGTTGCCCATATTATAATATTAATTAGGTTGTAATCCTTCAGATTAATTATGTTACTTGAAAACAACTGCAAATGCATTTTTTGTTTTTTAATTTAACTACTGGCCCTAAAAGGTAAAATTATTTTTAAAAATTTTGTGGCGTATTGCAGGAATCATTGTGATTTCATTTCTTTTCTTTATATGGCGGAAATGTGTTATGGCGTGCACCTTGCCTGCAACAAATAGTAAAGACCGGCAATTTCAGAGTACTACAACATACATCACTCAAACAAATAGTACTAACGACCCCCAATTTCCGAGTCTTACCGTAGACAAATTCCTTAAAGATATAGAAAGAGAGAAAACTATAAGATTTACCTCGAAAAATCTAAGGCTCGCAACTAATAATTTTGAAAATTTGCTGGGATCAGGAGGGTTCGGAACAGTTTATAAGGGAGTTCTCGAAAATGGAAAAATAGTTGCAGTAAAGGTTTTGAATGGAAGCTCGGATAAAACAATTGGGGAACAGTTCATGGCAGAAGTGAGTACAATAGGAAGATTGTACCATTTCAATCTTGTTAAATTAGTTGGGTTTTGCTTTGAAATAAAGCTAAGAGCTTTAGTTTATGAGTACATGAGTAACGGGTCACTTGATAATTTCATATTCCGGAAAAGAACCACCATTTTAGCACTCGAAAAACTTCATTTAATCGCAATTGGAACGGCTAAAGGCATTGCTTACTTACACGAAGAATGTCAACAACGAATAATTCACTACGACATAAAGCCAGGTAATATTCTTTTAGATGAAAATTTTAATCCAAAAGTGGCTGATTTCGGTCTTGCAAAATTGTGTAACAGAGAAAGTAGTTATGTAACTATGACTAGAGGAAGAGGAACTCCAGGTTATGCTGCGCCGGAGTTGTGGATGCCATATCCAGTCTCTCATAAGTGTGATGTTTATAGTTTCGGAATGGTCTTATTGGAAATGATCGGACAAAGAAGAAATTTTGAAATAAATCTTACCGAAATTGAACAATGGTTTCCGAGATGGGTATGGGAAAATTTTGAGAAAGGAAATTTAGAAGAAATTATAGTAATTTGTGGGATGGAGGAGAACAGTAAAGAGATACTAGAAAGAATGGTTAAAGTCGCATTTTGGTGCGTTCAATATAGGCCTGAATTGCGGCCTTTGATGAGTGTTGTAGTGAAAATGTTAGAAGGATTGATTGAGATTCCGACTCCATCAAACCCTTTCCCACAAGTAGATTTGCATCCTCAATTAGTATGGAGCAATCCTACAACTACTTTTGATTCAAGCTCTTCACGAGGTATTGTTGTAATTGGGAATTCCTAACAAAAAGAAACATAAGATTGGAGTGTGGTTGTATACTATATAATGAAAAACAAAGGAAACGCGTAAGAAGGTATAATGTAATTTTTTCACCATTTAATTTTAGGCTTATGGAAATTTTTTTGATTCATTGAGAGGCTCGATGCGTCGAGAAAACACTGCAGGCTATACAACAGAGTGTAGCCCTCCTCTACACTTACTAAATTAGTGAAAACACTTATAGTCGAAAGGACAACTCGAGATCTCTCACTTTTGTCATTTTGTTTTTCACAAAAAATAAATAATATTAATAGTTAAAAGTCTTAGGGTTCATTTGGTTCATATCTGGCGACTGATAGTGGCTCCAATAATCCGAATTCGCACCGGATAAGCCCACAAACTCCCTCCCAAGTGTTTAAAGTGATTCCACACCCAAGACTCAAACTTAAAACCTCTGATTAAGAGAGAAGGGATCAGTGCCATCCCATCTCTGATTAAGAGAGAAGGGATCAGTGCCATCCCATCTCACCCTTCCAGAGTAATAGTTGCTTTTAAAATATAAAATTACTATTAAAGGCATAATTATTTTATATATCATGACATATAATGTATATATGTGTGCATTTTTTAATTTAAGGCGAATATATTATTTTTTATTTTAATGTATTATATAAATAAAAATATTAATTAAAATTTTACAATAATGTTTAAGGAAAAACTTATTTTTAATAATATAAATAAAATTATCACAAAAAATATTTATTTATTAGTAATTATTTTTATGAGGTTAATAAAATTCAAAATATTATAAATACAATTCAGCTACTAGTTGATATAAAAAAACTCTAAAATGTAATTGATGGAGTCATTCAGCTGCCAATTAAAAAACTTACCAAACACACTTTTACTTTAATTGGATTCAATTATATATGAACATAATCGTCCAGCAATTCATATATGATATATCCATTCTTGGCCGGCCTTAGTTGTCGTATGTTCCAAACGACAAACATATGAATTTATAAATCAATGGTCGGACCAAGCAATGGCTATGTGCATGTATATGTGTGTCTATATACATTTTCAACAGTTTTCTCCTGTCGATTCCATATGTAAAGCTTGCCAACAGTTATTATATACGATTACCATCGAAGTAAGCACACATATATCCATAATAGATTGGTGAAATTATTTTAACATAAGGCAAAATAGTGAATAAGAGACAAATTGCTTAACAAGAAATAAGAGACAAATTGCTTAACAAGAATTATGAATTTTCAATTTTAAACTTATTCCAAATAAAAAAAATTCATTTACGAATTCATAAAATTCATTTGTGAATAAATTTTATATTTCAAATTTATTTACCAAATAGAGTGTACACGAACTTAAACTTTATTGGCGTATATTATAAGATTAGGTTACAATCCACTAGATTAAAGAAGAATGAGGAGGTTGACAAAATTCCATTTCCAAATGACATTTCAAAAACCCCAAAATGAGAAATGGTAGTGAATGAAATATTCTAAATAATATATAGAATTTATCTTATTTTGTTGTGTCAAAACAGAAATTGTACCAAATCCATGAATTGTTCAAAACTTCTCATATAAAAACCTCAAAACAAACACAGCAGTTAATAGATTAAGGTTTCGAATATGTTCGAAAACAACTTTTTAAGTAGTTTTTATAACATTCGATAACATAGTTTTTTATCTAACTTTTAAAGATTAATGTAGTTTTTTCTAAAATGTTAATCCATATAACGGTTAGCTTTTAGTATTTTATGAAAAAGCTAATCAAACAGCTAACAACTAAACATTATTAAACAGCTAACAGCTATTAAAACGGTTAATTTTATCGAATAAACTATTCAAATATTGTTAGGGCCTCGTTAACCGAAAAAACATAAGACTCTTAAGTTAGATTTGAGAATTCTCACACATAATAATAATGCACATATTGCTTGAGGAAGTTATTTTCTAGTCAGAGGTAAGTACTCTTCACTTCCAAAGCTTGATGATCTCTTCTTCAGTTCATCATCTGTAACTTCTACTTCCACAATAAACGTTGAACAGACAGGCCGGTGATCGGAAAATCGATATTCCCAACGTACATATGAAAGTTGGCGTATTCCATTTCCATGCCAAAGTATTCTATCACACCTGTAAATATTAATTAACGTTCAAAAAATGTTCTACTTGCAGATTGCAAATTTAATTTAATTTTTTTTAATAACAAGGTATTGCCATGGGTTAATTTTCATATATCTTATAATTTAAAATTTAAAAATTTCAATAAATATTATGAAGTTACATATAAAATTGTTAATTTTATACAATAATTAATTAAAATTAAAATTAAAATTAAGAATAATATGTTTCATGATTATACATACCAAGCTGGAGTTCTTCTTTTGTTTTTGGTGTCTGTAGTGTCACCAGCATAAGTGTCGGAGTTGCAGGAATATTTATACGTAGGTGCAAAATAGATCTTACCCTCTTTCCATCCTTTGAAAACACGTCCAGCTTCTCTCTCAATTTTTAACTATTAAAATTCAAAGTAGCGAATTATATTTGAGCATGCTACGATTTGACCAAAAGAATTTTAATTAATTTAATTTTTTAACATTGTTCAGAGGAAAGGACTATCTCATTGCGACACATCTGGCTTCTAATGAATAGCTAAGTAGGCGAATATATTTGAGCAATGCTACGATTTGGAACCAAAAGAATTTTAATTTAAATTTAATTTTTTTAACATTGTTCAGAGGAAAGGGACGTATCTCATTGCGACAGCATCTGGCTTCTAATGAATAGCTATATATATATATATATAATATATATATAAATATATATATATATATATATATATATGATAACCAAAAATTAAACTAAGTTGGATTGTTTCAAAAGCATGTAGTTTGATTTTTTTTTTCATTTTAAGGAAAAATTGAGTTTTTTTCAATTCGATTCCTGTTGTTATTATGTAAAATTGAAAATTATAAAAAACCCTATATATATATAACCAAAAATTAAACTAAGTTGGATTTAGTTTTCAAAGCATTTAGTTTGATTTTTTTTTTTCATTTTAAGAAAATTGAGTTTTTTCAATTCGATTCCGTTGTTATTATGTAAATTGAAAATATAAAAACCCTACATTAAGTCCAAACTGAGAAATTGAATTCAAACAATCTGATTCAATTTGATTTGATTTGATTCTATGAAAAATTCAGTTCAACTGGAATTTTTCTAGATAAAAAAGTTAAGTCTATTTAGTTTTCACTGATTTAATACGATTTAAAACAAGCTGATTAGATGCTCATGCCCCTCAAGTCTAATTCGATTCAATTCTTTTCGAATTTGATTCAATTCAAAGTACCTGATCTTTGTCAAATAATGGATTCCAGTCATAATGCTCCAGAAGCTTTCTAGTTTCAGAGTCGCTCAAAGATATCCTGTAATTCAAGTCCCCAAACCATATTACCCGGCTAGGGACATTTTTTTTTTTTTCAAGCGGAAATTGAACTTTAGTAAATATGGATATGCAAAGCACCAAAACATAATATTAAGATTTGGATTTTACTTGCCTAAACTTATTAGTTTATAGACCCATTTATAGACTAGACTAATGAAAATATAAATTTTAAAAAAAAAATTATTTTCACCTTATCATTTTCCAGTATATAGTTAGAAATACTCTTATTTTAAACAAAAAAAAAATTATTTTTCACTTGTTTATTTCATTAATGGATAAATTGATCAATGCCGAAAGATTTAGCTAAATATTAAGGTGTTGTAAAATTCAAAAAAATATATTAATGTTATTTGAAGAACTATTTTAAAATTAACCTAAAGGACAATACTAATGATTTATTTTAAGGATTTAAAGGAAAGCTTACTCATGTTCAATAATTTTCTCAGGCACTCGAGTATTAGATGATCTGCAAATCCTTTGGAATTGTGTATTTTTAAGTATCTCTATCACATCCAAGTTTCTTCTAAGTTCATCTCCTTCTTTCTCTCCTGATGCCAAGTGACTGCACACAAAGCAAAAGCTTGTCTGATGGAATGTCATGCTTACAGATACACATCCCTGCAACGACAAAAACCCAACCTTACATTACACCTCCAGTAGTGGTTTAGTAGTGACCACTAATTCAGAACCAGAACTGAATTGGCAGTTTTTCAAGTGTCCCTAGATATGGAATCAAAATTGGAATCCCATTATAGGGTTTCGGTTTTAGTTTGATTCTGTCTGATTTTTGCAAGAAACTATTGGATTTTCCGGTTAGCCGATTCCTGCAAGTTATCTGAAATTTAGAGTTTATTTGGTAAAATTAGCTATTTTGGTAATTGTTAGTTGTTTTAATAGCATTTAGCTGTTAAATATTTGAGTATCGTTTTATAAAACGCTAAAAGCTAATCGTTACATGAATTAACTTTTTATAAAACATTGCTTTAACCTCCAAAAGCTAGTTCAAATGTTATGTTACCTTTACCGATCAAAATGCTAAAAGTTACTTAAAAAGTTATTGTTGAATGCAGTTTTAATAACTATTAAATCAAAGTATCGGTTTACCAACAAAGTATTGATTGGAGTGATAAGCAGCCTCAATTCTGGTAAGGGAAAAAATACAAATTTGATTCCCGGGAAGTGTATTTTGCTGGGTGGGCCAAAAGCTTGTACTCTACGGCTTGAGTTTTCCTCCAGGTTATACCAAAAAAAAAAAAAAAAAAAAAAAAAAAAAATCGCCAAGTTTTTACATAACTATAACTATAACATCAAAAACTGGCTAATTCGGAACGCGAACACTTTACACCATAACGTATTGATTGGACGTTGATAAGCCAGCCTTCAATTCTTCTCGCGTAAGGAATAAAATAACTAATTGATTCGGGCAAGTGTCATTTTGCTGCGGTGGCCTCAAAAGCTTGTTACTTTCTACGGCTGAGTTTTCCTCGCAGGTGCTTACTACAAAAAAAAAAAAAACAGAAATAAATAATAGAAGGCAAAGCAAAGCTGACGCGCTATCTATTTAGAAAAAAAAAAAAAAAAAAAAAAAAAAAAAAGCAAACTATCTATTTACTTACTATACCTTGTTTCCAAAGCAGCCCAAAATGCCACGACCAACAGAAGAGATCCTCAAATGGCTAACATACTGAACAAGCTCCTTCTTCACCCAAATAGTAATAAAAATCCCTACCATTTGCTTACCCACGATAAGGCTGTATTTCACTTGGTTGCCACCGTAGCTATCAATTCCATCATCATCAATCTCCATGGAAAATTCATCCTCACTAAAATTTGTTGGTTGGAGCCACAAGCAGCAATCTTTGCTATTCTTTCTTTCCAATACATTGTTATTGCAATTGCAAGTCTTCAATCTGCTTTTACTTTCAGTCCTAAAATTCTTACAGGCCTTTTTAAGAGAAGGCTTTTGGAATAAAAGTGAAGTACTAAGTTGGGAAAAGGATTTTGGCACTCTTGAAAAAACTTTTTGTGGCTTGTTTAGTGATTGATTGATTAATGCTAGCCATTTTGTAGCAGGTTCATTGTCTTCTGCAACTAGTACATTTCCAGCATTTAATGGAACAATTTCCTGAAAACTGAGTTGAAGAAAAAGCAATTAGTAAAATGTAAATAAAATATTCACTTTGTCTTAAAATATAAATCGTTTTAGAATAATTGTTTTGTCCCGAAATATAGATAGTCTTGAGTATTTTAAGGAGTAATAAATGATATTTTTTTCAATGTTATTTATGTAAGATATACTACATTTATTCTATGATACTTCTCACATTTGAAATTTTATATCTTTTAAGAAAACCATTAAATTTGTTTAAGTTACATAAATGATTTAGTAAATTGACTATATTATCCTTAATTTAATATTAATTCTCTAAGAAAACCATTAAATTGAAGTAATAATTATTGGTCACGTATAAAGGGTAAACATAGAAAAAAAGATATCACTCCTGAAACCATAAATATGACAAGTATTTTGGAATAAACTATTTTCTCAAGTCTGACAAGTATTATGGAACGAATGTAGTAATAACTATCTTCACAAGTTATTCTTGATTTTGAGATAAATGGTGCTCCCTCTATTCAATTTTAATACTAACATTTCATTTTTTTATAAGAATCAAGAAAATAATTGAAATACATTGATTTTCTAAGAATAAATAGTGTATATAGTAGAATCTCTAAACTGTCCTTAAAATTAAAAACTACATATGTAATTTTACTACAAAATCGATGTTACTTTTATCTCATATTCAATTTTCCTTGTACATGAACACTTTTGTTTTCAGGGAAATCTTACATCAACCTCGTATAAATGAATTTCATAAAAAAATTTTAAATTCATAAATAATTTCGCACTTTCCTATTCAATAAAAAAGAAAAAAAATTTGTTTCATATATATATATATATATAGAGAGAGAGAGAGAGAGAGAGAGAGAGAGACTTTCTATTCAATAAAAAAAGAAAAAAAATCTTGGTTCATATACTAGTATATATATAAGAGAGAAGAGAGAGAGACGAGAGGGACGACGAGAGAGAGGAGAAGAGAGCAGAGAGAGAGCATACAGACCCTAACAACCACATATATTTACATAGAGAGAGAGAGAGAGAGAGAGAGAGCATACAGACCCTAAAACATATATATCTGACTGATAGTTGATTTGAAGTAAATCATCCAAATTGAGGCGATTATGAGGAGATTTTCCTCCCACATTCCATGTCGCCACAAAAACTCTATTCACAAGGAAAATAAGATAAAAGAAGGGATTAGAAGATGAAACAGTAATTAAAAAAAAAGTTACTTTATATATATTTTGAATCCAATTATTACCTGAATTCCTGAGTTTTACCACTTGGCATTACAGTTCTTAGACAAGCTTTAAAAGTAGCGAACTCAAGCCTAAACGAACGTGCTTTGTACAATTTCCAATCACTTCTTGAACTCCATTCCCCTCCCTCTCAAAGATGATAAATAATAGGAGTAAGACAAAAAAAAAGGACAAAAGGAAATAGAATTATCCAAAATAAGGCATCAAATAGACAAAGAAAGATACCATATTCTTGCAATACATATCAAAGTAAAATATGAATATATTCTCTCTATTTTGGAGCAAATTGCAATTATACTCTTTCTTTTCTTTTGTCCTTATCCTTTTACTGTTTTTACTAAGACTTTGACCATTCAATTTGCATTTTGAACTACTATTAGTAAAAAAAGAATGTCTACTTTTTGAAAAGAAAATGGAATGGTATTCATTTTGTAGCCAAAAAAGAAAAAAAAAAAGTGTCATACATCAGTAGATAGGCAAGAAATAATGATTATTATATGATTTGCATAAAGCAAATGAATCAATTCATTATGTCCTCAATTATGTTAATCTATCAGAAGAATATTTTGGAAAAATTTGTACTACATGTTGTACAAAGGGGAAAGATATATAAATAGAATCATTATACACTAAAAGGATTTAATGCAAGATAGTTTGGTCTAGTGGTTAAAGCGTACTAGATCACACTTTATTGATCGCAGAATTGAGTTATAGAGTCAGCATCTTGAGGAGAGTTTTTAAATATTATCGCTTTCTAACTCGAAAGGGATTAATCTTTCATCTAACCGTTAAACGGGAAGTGGAAGTACACTATTGGTAGTAAAAGAAAAAAGAGTATAATTGAACCGAGGCAACAATTAGAAATATATATATGTTGGGAAGTACACTATTGGTTAGCTAAAAGAAAAACAGAGCTATACATTGAACGAGGCAACACATTAGGAAATATTATTTTATATACTCACTATTATATATAATATATATATAGTTTATATATACGTATAATAATATATATATAGATATATAGATATATATATTTCTTGATAATATAGTGAACTTCTGTTTTTGTTCTTGATAGCTTGATGCTACTCAAGGTTACAATATGTGTTTAGATTTTGATGATAACTCACCTCTAATGAATTAGATTATATATGTTGCGCTTGACCTCATCTGAATTGCAGGTTCAAACAAGAAGCTGAGAATAAAGAACTTGAAGCAAACTTTAGGAATAAAGGCATGCATGACATTTAAAACTTAGAGGAAGAGTTAAAAGAAATTAAGATCAAAGGAAAAACATATAAAGTTTTTGAAGACAATAAGAATATTTATGCTTGAAGGAAGAATACACAATGCTTTGAATAAAATTAGAAGACTTAGTGCTTAAGAGAAGTCATTCAAAATTGAAGAATCTCAAGACCTTATCTTGTAATATTCTTGGAGAAATGCATATTTACATTTTGAGAAAGCTATTTTTATCTCACAAGATCTAAAACTTAAAAGCTCTTTTTTCTTTTTCTACGGTGGCCACCGGTGAGAGCTCATCGGTGGTTACCCCTTTTCCTTTTTTTTTTTTTTTTTTTTTTTTTTTTTGCAAAATAAATTATCGTTCAAATATTATGATTTATTATTGCCCATATCTTGAATTTGATTCCAAATCTAATTCTGATTAATTGTTGTCCACAATTAGAATGATTTTGTCTCAAAGTCTGTTATTATTTGGATAGTTACTGCAGAAAGAAGTGCAAAATCTCTTCCTTCTACTTTTTCTTTTTTTTTTTTTTTTTTTTTGCAAATAAATTATCGTTCAAATATTATGATTTATTATTGCCCATATCTTGAAATTTGATTCTCAAATCTAATTCTGATTATTGTTGTCACAATTATGATGATTTTGTCTAAAGTCTGTTATTATTTGGATAGTTACGCAGAAAGAAGTGCAAATCTCTTCTCTAAAAGAAATTGTAATAAATAAATAAGTACGATTGATAAATTTTTTTAAAAAAATTGTCAAAATTGTAAAAGAAATTCACTAGAAAATTTCCTGGCAATTAATGATAGAATTTTGTGGCTAAATGAAAAATAAATGTTAGTAAATGTATTTACTAATTGAATATAAAAAACGTGGTTGGTAAAAGCATGTTGGTAATTCGCGATGAAATATCCGTTACTTGGTTTGTTTATTTCGGCATTTGTTTGCTAATTTGTTGGTTTCCATTACTAAAATTAATTTTAAAAGTGAAAAATATATAAATCCATCTCTAATGTCGTTAAAAATTGACAAACATAAAAGTCCGTTGCTAATTCTATTTTTAACATATACTTTTTTTCATTTTATAATTATTGTCTTATTTTACTTTTCGAATGTCCCAAACTATGGTTCTATTTTCTTTTTTTAAAAGAAGATAATTATAATCATATTTCTTTTATGAATTAGAATTGGTGATTTTTTTTAGGACAGAAAAAAACTCAGTGTATGATTTAGTAGTGGCATCCACAAGAAAATTCTAATTCTTGTTAAGGGTAAAGTTGATATTTTCATCAAAATTTAATGCAAAAATTAAATAGAAAAAACTATTAGTTGATTGATAATAAAATAGGACAGTGATTTTTGTCTCATCATGAACGTGACTCATTGCACATGGTTTCACAATTAGCCAATTGTTATCATTGTGAGCAACACGTAACTAATATAACATTATCCTAATCCAACATATAAAAATGAAAATCACTTAACTACTATAAGTTGCTTACTAGTAGACTAGGGTTTAACGGTATATATATTTCAAATATATATATATTATTTTCCAAAATTATTTTAATCTAATAAATTTATTTTATAAACTCAGTATATAAAATTCATTCATTTATATCCAAAAAAAAGGAGTAATTTCATTCTTTCTATTATATTTTTTAAATATCTCCATTGTATTATTTTTACTTGGAAAGTTCATAGGAAAATTCAAATACATGAAATGATTTTTGCCTTTTCTTAATTCTTCTAACCAGATTTTCACATTAAGAACATATTCCAATAAGTTCAGAACGCGTTTTTTTTTATTTGTGGTCCATCTTCCAAGAACTTTCCTTGAAAAGTATACTCTCTCCGTGCTATTTTAATAGCAACAAATAGGCTTTTTACCTTATTCTACCTCAAGTGCTCATTTAGGATTTTGAGACTATATTAATTATTTTTCTCTAATTTATCCATATTGATTAGATGTAATTTATTTTTATATTTATATTTTAAAAAAAATAATTTAGACATTCCACCGTGTATTTTTAGAATATTAATCAATTCTAATCATTTTCTTAATCCTTGTCAAAAGAAAAATGTTACTGTTAAAATAGAACGGGGAGTAACTAATTATATACATCATGTAACCTGCGGGCCAAGATCCAGAGCATGAAATGTGATTATCCATGTCATCAACAATGAGTCAATGATACTCGCGGCTATTTAGATAAGCAACCGGTTCTGAACCAAAACCAAATCGAAAAATAAAATCAAAACTGACTGGCTTCAAGCGAATTCATTTAATGGTAAAAATGATATTTATTTATGGAATAGCTAAATATTTTAACACATCTAAAAAATTTAGTCAAAATATAAAGATTATATACTAATTATAATCAAAATCAAATACTAAACAGTAATCGATGCAACTAAATAAATTTGCTAAAAAAACAAAGGCAAAGGCATAAGAATTAAAAACGAAATGAGACATCTATAAATAATAATAAGGCAATCCATCAAAGTAGCTGGCCCAATTGGAGTTTTCTCGAGAAAGTCAACTTTCTAGCCAAACATCACATATTTTCTATCAAGATTAATACAATGAAGTTGTCACCACACAGATTCTTTGGGTTTGTGTTAGAAACTTAAAAATTGATATAAATCTATGTTAAAATTTAACATTTTATGCGGCACAAATTACTTAAAACCTAACTAACTTTTCTTTCAAGCCTTCAACTCCGATTTGACAAAATCTTAATCCTTGGAACTCGATGAATACCGTAGCTTAACAATAATAATAATATGGGTGAATTACTATTTGGCATCTTTAGTTTAGTGAAATTGATAAGTTGACCTCTATTTTTTTAAAATTAAATAAATGATCCCTTCGTTTTACTGTTATACAAATAAATAGTTCTTCTGTTAATTTCTGCGTTAAATTGTTATGGAATATCAATTTTACCCTTAACAAAACTTCAAATTGCATACAACCACTATAAGAAATGCCTTGATTTTTTTTTTTAAAAAAAATAGACATCAGCAATTCTAATTCCTATGTAGAAAATCAAAAGAAATAATAACCTTTCCCTGTATTTAGATTAAATTATTACATAACATTTAGCAATAGAATTTGATTGCTGATCCTCAACGACGACATTTGAATAAAAAGTATTATATTTAAGTTTAGTTTGTTGACTAAACCAAAAAATTTTAATGAGACTATTTAATTAACAAACATAGGTACGACTTATATTATTTTTTAAAAACAAAAATCCTAATTTGCGAATTTCATCAAACTATAAGGTTCAAATAGTAATTTGCCTTAAATAACAGTTATTTATGCTAAGCAAAGTAAGCAATATTAATACCAAGCAAACCATTAGTAATAAAATAAATTGTGTGTTGGTTGCAATGCAAACATTTAAATTGATTTTGACGAGCATGTTTAAGATAGAAGAAAAAGGATTAATGGCAGCCATGATTGTGTTTCCATAGAAGCAATACTAGAAAAAGAGTTTATAGAACAATAATTGCTTTAAAGAGAACTTGAATTAATGAAATCTACATATAATGGAAGTAGAAAAAAAATTGATTAAGTACAAATATAGGAAAGAGAGAGATAAAGATATTTCCAGTTTGTGAACTGTTCGAGCTCGGCTCGAAAAAAGTTCAAAAAATTTGGCTTAAATTAAGCTCAAGCCTGAGTCTAGGCCGGCTCGCTCTTAATAATATTCAATCGAAAGCCCATGAGCGTTTTCGAACTATTTATACATACATTTATATAAATTTATTTTAGGCTTATTCGAGTCCAAAATTTTTCAAATTGAACTCGAGTCTCAAGTCGAGTTTGACCTCTAAAATTTTCAAGCTTGTTGAGTTTCGTATAGAATTCAAATCATGCTAGTAGGTTCGAACTCGGCTTTGCTCATTTATACTTTAAACTTAGACCATAGCTAACGACTTGCTAACTCAATTTCCATTCCATTTCTAGGTCGGAGAGAAGATTTCTCAGAAACATGCGTATAGTTGTCTCCATCACTTCCAAAAGACAGTGGAATGTTTGGACTGCCAGATTCAAATGGGTTTTCAATCAATTGCACTATTTCCATACCTCCTTCTAGCATCTTCACCACATCACTCATCAAAGGCCTTGCATCAGGGGAATTTTGAATGCATTGCAGAGCCACAAGACACATTCTCTCCGCCTTGTCTTTATCCTTCCCTTGAATCCCACAGAGATACAACATTACTTCAAGTTCATGGTTCTTATACATATCCCATGTCCATTTTGGAAGCCATTGTCGAGACTCGTTAAGATTAGCATCAAAATGTCTTCTCCTTCCAATAATTTCAAAAAGAACAATCCCAAAACTATAAACATCACACTTATGAGTCACCGGATAATTCCTATACCATACTTCCGGCGCAGAATATCCGAGTGTTCCTCTACCGCCACTCAAGTTTTCCTTACTACTTTCTCTATTACATAACTTGGCAAGACCAAAATCCGCAACCTTAGGGTTCAAACTATCATCAAGAAGTATATTTTCAGGTTTTATATCGTAATGTATAATCATTTGTTGACACTCCTCGTGTAAATACGCTGTACCTTTCGCAGTTCCTATAGCAATCTCGCGTAACTTTTCCCATTCTATCTCTCTGGTTTCGTCGAACAAAAATTTATTAAGAGATCCATTATCCATATATTCATAAACAAGAGCCATCATTGAGTGGTCGAAGCAAAAGCCATAGAGTCTAACAAGATTGGCATGGTACGTTCTTCCAATAGTACTAACTTCTGCCATAAATTGTTCTTCCAACTTTTTATCTCTTGAATGGTTTGTGAGAATTTTCACGGCAACTGGCACTCCATTTGGAAGCTCGCCTTGGAAGACGACTCCATAGCCTCCTGATCCTAATATGGTGGAGCAATTAGTAGTGAATTCTTCAATTTGTTGAGGTGAGAACCTAATAGGTTTCTCTCTTGCCATATTGCTAAGGAATCTTTCTATTGTTGGAAATTGAATTTGTGAGTCTTGTGGATCAATTGGTATGGATATGTGGTTATCAATTGATGAAGGTTTTTTCTTTGAAGCTGTATGATTAATCTCACTTGTAGCAATTCTTGCATAATTTGGAATTGCACTTCCTGCTTTCTTCAAGCAATCAATAATAGCATAAACTATAGCTACAATTGCTACAGTTGATATTACACCAAGAACTGCATATTTTCATCAATAATTGCAAAGGGTTAAAATCATTTATATTGAATAGGTAAGATATACACTAATCTAAAAATTTTTTAAAAAAATTAAAAAATTTTTTGTCAGTTGATATAACTATGAGCATCATCAATCCCCAACATGACCCTAATCTAACAGGCTCAATGCATAAATTCACCCCTGCATTTTATATAATAAAAAAACTTTATCATGGCTTCAATTACTTTAACCTATTAAACACTTCAAATTGTATCTATTAAGTATCTAAACTTGCAAAGATTATTCTATTAAACACTTGAAGTTATAGACTAGATCAATTAGACACTTATTGAATAATTTAAAAATGTAAAATTTATTGTTCTGAAGATTATACTATCATACATCAAGTGAATATTTTACAAATACACATCAAAAACATCAGAAAATTGTTATTGTAAGTTCGAAGAGGGGGATGCGATGTTCAAAATTCACAACTTCAAGGGACATAATAAGTCTCTCGTTGAGTTTGGAGTTCCACTTTCTATAACTTACGGGGTAAATTTATGCATTTGGCTTAATCTAACATAAACAAAGGCAGCTCTTTTCTATGCCTATGGTTGGTTAATAGAAGTTGCTTACTAATAGATCCAGCTACTGCCCATTTCATAGCAGAATTAGCTTCTTCGTTGAACTTGTCGAAATCACTTTCTGATTGCTGTTGGAATGTCCCGAAACCATCTTGGAATCGATAAGTACCCATTTCTTCTAGCAGCAGAGCTCAAGCAAAAGCCACCACACACTGTAAATTATACCGTCTGAAAAATAAAGAGACTCTTTTAAGGACTTCATTTTATAAAAATTATTGCTTCATCCCTAGAATTTTTTTATCTTTCTCTATTGATCCTCACCATTTTTTAATTTTTCGCTATTGATCTCTCAATCGTCTTTTTTATGGACGCTCTTACACTTTTTAATTTAGAACATTGAAGACTTATTCAATGCAAAATTTTAAAAGAATTCGATAGTAATTGGTTAGTGATAAATAAAAATTGAAATTAAAATTATGTTTCAAAATAATTTTAGTTTTATGAAATTCAATAGGATTAAATAATATTTTATCATTTTTAATATGATTTTATATTTAAAACTCATTTATACTAAACTACAATCAGCAAATTCCTCATTATATTTAATAAATATCTCCATGGTATTTTTAAATGGAAAGTTTATAACAAGGGTTTAAAATACAACTAACTAAAATTTAAGTGCTTAAAATGAAATTTCCTTTTTCTTTTGGGTTTTTCGAAATGAATTAAGTCCACAACGCGTTTTTTAATTGTCGTGTTAATCTTCTAAGAAATTTCTTTTGAAAAGTATATAATATTTTTTTTTTCTCAACGCTGTATACGTGGCTGCATTTTAGTTACTTGTCTTGGTCTATAACTCGATGGTAAACTGCAGGCTGTGACGTGCCATGGAAAAGATCGTATTCAAACATAAAAATTAAATCAACACGCATTGGAAGTAAATAAATATTTTTAAAAATTAACGGTAGTTGTCAAGAATATTCGAACTTAAAATTTCATATTCTTTAAATAAGTGAAAAAATTAATCAAATCACTATCTAATCGGTAGTTATTTGACTTTGTTATTTTTATTATTTACTCGTTTTTTATATTTTTTTTATAATATTAAATAATATAGCATTAAATTGGAATATCAATTTTACATAAAAAAATAAAATTAGGTGCAAAATAAATTGAATGACCTATTATTAATATTATTAATTATAATTTTTAACATAATTTTTTTAAATAACCTTACGAAATGAATTGGTCATGGTACGTTAATCATTTGTGTAAATACCATGTTTTTTTTTAAAAAAAAATTAATTTTCTTTTATGAGGGGGCCAATAGTCCCCCTTGCGTATAAGGTGTGTCCATTGCTGCTTTCATGGTGTTTTCCATTAAATGATAAGTGAATATCATGCACAACATGTCTAATGATATACTAATTCTTAGAAGTCCCCAAATTTATTTTCCGTGTAAGCTACATACATATATATCTACGTGGAGCTTACACAAATTGTTTTGATAATTTTTAATTTATAAATACATATTAAAGATTTGTTTTTCTCATGAGTTGTTTTATTATTGTATATAGTATGTTATAAATTGTATTTAGTAAAATTATTAAAAGATTTTTTTTTTCCGCGCTTTGTTATATTAAATTATCATGTTATTGAAATTACAATATCTTTAATTTATATTAAATAATTATTCAATTTAATTAATCATATCTAGACTTAAAGCTTATAATTTAAAAAAAAAATGGTAGAATAATAGAGGTTTTCTAGACACCAATTCTTGTGCTTATTAGTTTTTTTTTAAAAGAAAAAAAATTAAGTCTTATTAGTTTTTTAAAACTATAAATTTATAAATTATAAATATATATTTTTTAAAATTCAATTTCAAATTTGCAATATTTGAATATAAAATTTAATTAATTATTTTATAAATTAATAATAATCGACAATTCAAATATATAATTTTTAAAATTTTTAAATAATAATAAAATTAATTCAAAAAATTGCAAATGCAACCTTTTAATTTATATTTTTTTTATGATAATTCATGTGTTTTAAGACATTACAAAACACAAAAAAAGAAACTTTTAAACTCACGTGCTATTTTTTATATGTATGTTTAATATTTGTGTGTATTATTTATTATATTTCTTTTATTTCTTTTATCTTACCCTATCATATTTTTGTTTAATTTCCCCACAAACTGTTTAGTACGATGGCTTTCATTTTATTTAGACTTGAACTAAGGATAAAATATAATGATTTAACATTTTAGCTTATATTACTATTTTCTTACATTTGAATGTTTTATATGGTACTGTACAAATGAAATACCCCGAATTTTTATTTTCGAAACCTTTGAATTTTTATTAAATCAAAAATTTCTATTTTTGACAATATGGGCCGTACATAGTGAACAATTTTAATTTGAATTCAAGTTTTTGCAAATTGGGCCCAAGCCCAAATAATAATGATTTAACATTAGCTTAATATTACTATTTTTCTTACATTTTGAAGTTTTTATATGGTACTGGGTACAAATGAAATACCCCGATTTTTAATTTTCGAAACCTCCTCTTTGAATTTTTTTAATTCAAAAATTTCTAATTTTTGACAAATATGGGCCGTACATAGTGAATCAATTTAATTTTAATTCAAGTTTTTTGCAAATTGGGCCCAAGCCCAAAATATAATATCAAAATTTTGGAAATCGAAGAACAGTTAATTTTCGAATAATAAAATAAAAGTCCAGCAATTGATCCTATTATGGTATATATAAATAAATTAAATTTTCCTAAAAATCAAATATGATTACTAATTATATTTTTATTTTTATTTAGTTAATGAGGAATGTTATTGAAACCTAAAATTAAAATAAATTAAAATAAATTGAATCCTTCCGGACTCGAAACGCGAATTGAATTTTTCAAAAACCACACGAAAATTTTGAAAACCAGTGAATTAACCTTGCATACCGACAAAATCGAGCCGAATCAAATATTGAAATTAGACCAAACCGTTCGAAATCGACCGTGAATGGTCTAGAAGCCCAAGATTTTTCTCTTTCATAGAATTAGACCAAACCGGTTCGAATCGAACCGGAATGGTCTAGAAGCTTTAGAATTCTCCTTTCTTTTCTTTTCTTTTTTTCTTTTTTTCTTCTTCCAACAGCGTCGACCTCCACCCCCTCCCCCTTTCCCTTTTGCCTTTCCGGTCACCTGAAGCCAGTGCCATTCCCATCGCCTCCCGCTGCCGTTCCCGTGTCGCTCTCTTTCCCCCTCACCTTTGTTGTCTTAGGCTAGCGTAGCTAGCGCGGCTGTCGCAGGAAGCTGCGATCGTAGCACCCTCAGCCCCTCCTCCCGCATTTTCAGACAGATCAACGGCAAGGAGCTCCATTCACACCACCTGGACCTCGCCTCTAGTCCCTACCGTTACAACCATCCGACCCATTTCATGCTCTTGGCCTACTTCTCGCACGACAGAAAGAGAGAGGGAGACAGAGAGGTTGCGATGATCAAATCCGGCCACCTCGAATGATTCCGGTGACTGACACCAACAAGGTCGGAAGGTCGGTTGACTATCCTAATTCTAATTCCTTACAAATCATTTTGTTTGATTAATTTGCAATTAATCGGAAGTTTTAGTGAAAAGAATTGATCAAAATGGGACTTAGGGATTTAAGAATAAAAATTGGGATTTCATTAAATATTGACATAATTTGTAGTAGTTAGCTATAGAACTGAGTTCTATATGAAATTTGCTATGTCTTGGCATAAGAGTTGTAAGATTCAGGAACCATGGTACCTCCGGCCACCGTAGACGGCGGCGATAGTGGTGGTTCCGGTGACCGGAGTTCCCAAGAGGCAGAATATTGCATTTTTCGTATAGAGTATGAATATATAATTAGTTTTAACATCTGACGTCAACTGATATTGATCTGTGGATTGACGTATATTTAGAAATTAGGCTTCAGGCTGAAAAAAATTAAGGAAGTCGATAAACAAGAACTATACGATCTTAGAAAGGTTTAATTAGCTAGTTAGCAAAGTAATTAAATTTGGTTAGTATTCAAAATAAGTTATATGGGTGAATTTTATAATGATTAGGATGTTTTAGTTTCTATGAAGTTAAAAGTTTCGTATGGAGGTTAATACTAATAAGAGTAATATATATTAAGTAATATGTATTATGACATTGTTAAATATAAGGATTCAGGTGTTAATTTGTATTGATATATGAATATTGTTTAATTCTGGATGATCATGAAAGTTGACCTTAGAATATTAATCTTTGTAGATTTATATTGGTGAAACGTTAGACATACTTGTACACTGAAAGGAGGACAAGAGTAGATGAAAGAATTTATTGATAATATTCCAGAATAGTTGAAGGTCTTTGTAATATTGTAAATTATGGTTGATTGGTGATATAATGATTTGAAGCGCGGATGTATTGGAGTTTGATCTGATTGCCCGAACGGATGGGCTGGTGTGGATTCGAGTTAACTATTGAATGAAAATTTTTTGATATTTAATAACAGGTGGATTAGCTCCAATTTTTTAGGGGAAATCCTGCCCAGCCGAAATTTCCGATAGATTAGAATTACATTTAATTAATGCAACAGCTAATAATTACAGTTAGCATTAGTTAAGTTTCTAAATAACTTTGGTACATAAATAAATATAGTGCTCTGATTATTTATTTATCTTTCTACTACTTCATGTTAATGATTTAACAATACTTTAAGTTTATGTTATTTCCCATTTTATTGTTAATAACTAATTTATTTTATTTGGTTATTTTGCATCTGCATTATGATGTTTTAATTGACTAATATGCTGCATTTAAATTGCAATATACTTGATTAATTTGTGTTGTGATATTGCTGGTGCTTTGTTTGATGTGGAGTCGGATGAGTGGGTCCACCATGGGTATTGTGAGACTGTCTTCTGTTATATCCGGATCCTGATGTACTGATTTCTGTTATATTCCTGATTCACTGTTATATATATGGATCCCGATTACGCTGTTTTCATGTTACGCCGGGTAAATGGCAGATCGGCGCCCCCCCGTGTGCACCTACTGTTTACTGTTCACTGGTTAACCACACAAGGTCGGCTCTTTATTGGCGCGCACCTGATAATCTAAGATTTCGAATCCGCAGCCCGCAAGGGTGGCCCTCCTGTTGTGAGCGCCTGACTGATCTAGATTTGTGGAAGACGACC